CTGCGTAGTTGTACAATGTATTTGTGTTTTAAGCTAAGTGTTATTACAAAGGAGTCAAAAAGTTAAAAAATATATTAGGAAATTTTTAAGTAAAAAATTACAGTAAGTTAAGATTAATTTACTATTGAAGAAAGAAAAGTATTTTTAAAAATAAATTTAGTGTAGCCTAAGCATACATTGTTTATAAAGTCTAGAGTGTACAGTGATGTCCTAGGTCTTCACATTCACTCGTCACTCACTCACTGACTCACCCAGAGCAACTTCCAGTCCTGCAAGCTCCATCCATGGTAAGTGCCCTATACAGGTGTATCATTCTTTCTTTTATATTGTATTTTTACTGTACCTTTTGTATGTTTAGATATGTTTAGATACCTGAATACTTATCATTGTGTTACCATTGCCTACCGAATTCAGTACAGTGACATGCTGTAGCTAGGTTTGTAGCCTAGGAACAATAGGCTCTACCACACAGCCTAGGCATGTAGTAGGCTATACCATCTAGCTTTGTGCAAGTACACTCTATGATGTTCGCATAATGACAAAATCATCTTACGATACATTTTTCAGAAGATATGCCTGTCTTTACGTGACACCTGACTGTACAGATAGAAAGAAAGGCATAGGTATTGAGAGGGTGTGCCAAAGGCTCTTCAATCATATAGTATTTGTCTTTTTGTGACTGGCTTATTTCACTTAGCATAATGTCCATGGTGTTCCACATTCTAGCAAGATGTAATAAGCTTTCCTTCCTTTTTAAGGATGAATAATAATCCATTGTATCATGTACCATATATTTTTTTAATCCATTCATCCATCAATAGGGATACTTCCAACTCTTGGCTATTGTGAATACTGCTGCTATGAACATGAGTGTGCAAATCTCTCTTTGAGACTCTGCTTGCAATTCTTTTGAGTATATATACCCAAAAGTGGGATTACTGGATCATATGATATTCTATTTTCAATTTTTAAGGAACCTCTACACTGTTTTCCACAGCTGTTGCACCATTTTACAATCTCACCAAAAATGCACAAGATTCCATTTTCTCCACATCCTCACCGACACTTATTTCCAGTTTTTTTCGACAGTAGCCATCCTAATGGGCATGAGGTGATATCGTGTTGTGGTTTTGATTTGCATTTCTCTGATGGTTAGTGATGTTTAGCATCTTTTCCTATGCTTATTGGCAATTTGTATATCATTAATTGGAGAAATTTCTATTCACTTTCTTTGCCCATTTTTGAATCAGGTTACTTGATTTGTGTGTTGAATTGTAGGAGTTCTTTATATATTCTGTGTATTAACCCCTTATAAGATATATGACTTACAAATATTTTCATCCATTCTGTAGGTTGCCTTTTCACTCTACTGACTGTTTCTTTTGCTGTACATGAGGTTTTTAGTTTGATGTAGTCCCATTTGTCTGTTTTTTGCTTTTGTTGCCTGTGCTTTTGGTGTCCTATCCATGAAATGATTTACATGTCCAATGTCATTAAGCTTTTCCTCTATGTTTTCTTCTAGGGGTTTTATAGTTTTGGCTCCTACATTTAGGTCTATACTCTATTTTGAGTTAATTTTTGTATATGGTGTAAGATAAGGGTCCATATTCATTCTTTTACATGTGGGATCCAGTTTTCCCAACACCATTTGTTGAAGAGACCATCATTTTTCTATTGAGTGGTCTTGGCACACATGTCCAAAGTTCTTTCACCATCCATGTAAGGGTTTATTTCTGGGCTCTATAGTCTATTCCATTGGTATATTTGTCTGTCTTTACACCATACCAAACAATTTTCATTATTGTAGCCTTATAATATGTTTTAAAATCAGGAAGTGTGAGTCCTCCAACTTTGTTCTTTTTTTCTCTTCAATTGTTTCTTTAAGTTTTGATTTGTTAGCACTAATTGAACTAATTAGCACTAATTGCATAACCTTAGCACTAATTAACCTCTTCAGACATACGTTCTGCACCTTCCACTTTTACCTCTTTACTCCATAAATGTTCATCTATTTTTCTTCCCAAATATGCCAGAATCATCTCTACCTCATGATCTTGCACAAGCTCAGAAAAATCTAAAACTTTACCTTTGAAACATAAAATGTACTCATTTGTCTTAATTTGTACAACCCTCCCTCATGAAAATTTTCTTATTCTCTAAAGCTGGTAAAGATTTCTTTCTTATGTAACTGTGCAGTTATGTGTTGAATTGTGTAAGGGATGGTAAATCTGTACATTGGAGTACAACTCTCCGGTTGAATGAGTCAGATTGAAATAAAATTTTCTGCTTGGGAAAGATGTCCATGACATAGTTTTCATTAAAAAACATGTAAAGTGTAATGAATATCAGCCCATTTTTGTGGAAATAGAAGTGTATAGGATTGTAGAGATAGATTGTATGTGCCTCAGAGAATGTTAGCAAGGAATGTACTATTCACATTTTGGCTTGGAAATTGTGTATTTTTTGAAATTTTGCAAAGATATAATATAAAAAAATATTTCTTTAGTATTTGTTATAAAAATAACAATAGAAATATGTCTAAGGTCCGGCCGTGCTGCACGCTCTGCTTTGGAGGCCCAGGTGCGGTTCCTGGGTGCAGACCTACATCACTCGTCAGTGGTCATGCTGTGGCGGTAATCCATATACAAAATAGAGGAGGATTGGCACAGATGTTAGGTCAGGGCTAATCTTCCTCAGGCAAAAAATAAAACTAAAGAATGTCTAAAACCCAACATGGTCTTCTGTTAAGGATAGTACAGTGTCTTCCCTCTAAGATAATTTTCTTAGCAGCATTTCTTTCCAGCATTATTCATACAAAATTTTATTTCTAGCTATGCCTTGCAAGGCTCTGAGATTTTTCATTGAATGTATTATGTGTGTTTTATCTTAGGGTGAAAAGAGGAAGTATGTATTTTGTAGATATATACATGAAATTCTCTATGAAGGATTTGTGTTCTCAGGCACTGCTTATGTATTGTGGATAAATACATGGCACTTTATTTGTACTTATTATTTAAATCTTACCTATCTATTGATTTGCTCTCTCAACAAATCAAATGCCATTTTTCAGATTCTACGGAAAAGTGCGGACCTCCTCCATCTATTAGCAATGGAAATATTACTTCTTTCCTATTAAAAGAATATCCTACAGGATCAACAGTAGAGTATCAATGCCAATCCTTCTATGACATCCAGGGCTCCAAATATGTTACATGTAGAAATGGACAGTGGTCACAACCACCAAGATGTTTATGTAAGTTCTTATTATACTCCTATAGTAAAATCAGAGTGATAAACACAGTTTTTTCTAGCATTTACAGTAGAATTTTTATGTAGTAATGATCTAGGCTTGTTTTTAATAGCCACTTGTACAAAGTAAGACCTGAATAATTAATTGCAATTTATTAATAGATGAGAGAATAAATTGATAAAATTCTGATTTGAACAAAAGAGTTTGCTTATTTAATACATCAATATTAATAATACATGAATATTAATATGTGAATATGCAGATATGCATTATAACTCATCAAGATTCACATTAAGATGATCCCAAACATATTATCCGTGGAGCTACATTTTCCTCTTACTAACCAATTTCTGCTTATGTATGAATATCTCTTTAAGACTTTTCAAAGAGATACTTCAGAATATATTAGTCTAGGCATAGTTTTCTGAACCAGTATAAATGTTTCTCCTTAAAAACTTGGAAAGTGCGTCTGGTAGAATGCTAAGCTAATTGCTACTAGCAAGCTTTTTCTCTGATAATCTCTCTTACCTGCATTTTACCACAAATACTCACAGAGATAGGACACAAGATGAGAGAGCCAGCCATTTTTCATAGCACCTCCATCACTTCTTTCCCTCACCCATATCCCAATAAATACATTCAGGAACTTTCCTTTCAGGAATGTCCTTCCAAATCAGCCGTCCCCACATTTTGTAAACTTGTGGTATTTGAGGGAAATTTTTTAAAACTTTGCCCCTCAGTAAACATCAGGGTGTAACAGGATTATTTTTGAATGGGAAGGATAAATGTGATGGGATAAAAGTGAAGGAATAGGGGTCACAATAAAAATAGCAGAACAACAAAATATAATCAATTTTTGATATCAACACCTACTAACCTATGCAGTGGGAAATTACAACTTGTATAAAGCCCTTGTGTTTCCAGCACAAATCTCGGTGAATGATGACCTGTTCTACTAGAGTTCTCAGGGTGTCTAAACCCTCTCTCTACAGGGTGGAGCCAGTATTTCCTCACAGCCATGTGCTCCTTTCCTCTCTGACTACACTGGTTTTAACTAATGAATTAAATAATGTTGCTTATAGAAACTGCTGATCGTCACTGTCATTCAGATCTGTCTCTACATTCTAAGCAAATCATAGCAATAATAGTCTGAATATTGAATTCAGATAATGGCTGTGCAGATAGAGACAGATTTGTATTTCCATGTCTAAATAGGCTAGAAATATTACCTGAATAGACTTGATCAGATAAAAGATAAGTTTCAGAGAAGATTCTGTTCCTTGTCAGAAGAAGCAGCCATCAATTCCCTTTCACACTATACAAATTGGTAATTCTTTGTATTTTATTAAAGGAGTTGGTTTCTTTGTAATAAAAATGAAAATCAATAAGAAATGCCTAGAGAGCCAATAGACACTGTAGTGTGTTGTATAAAGAACAAGAAACTTTCGTTGTTTATCTTATCCATCCCTCTGTCCAGCAGGCATTTACTAACGTAAACATTTGTTAATACTAAAATACTGTAAAACAGACATATTTGTTAATGTCTTATGTGTGCTTTCATGTGGAGTGAAGGAAGGACTGAAAAATGTGACTCAGTTTAAGTGATCCAAATTTCTTCAATGAATCATTTCCGTCATTGGATATCACAAGTCTTTGTATTACATGTTGTGGCATATTTTTTATTTGGCTTATTTTAAATATATTTATATGTTTTCCTTGGTCTTTCAATAAATCAAATCATATTTTTTAGACTCTCGAGGAAAATGTGGGCCCCCTCCACCGATTGACAATGGAGACCTTACCTCATTCCCATTACCAGCATATGCTCCAGGATCCTCAGTTGAGTACCAATGCCAGTCCTTGCATGTGCTTCAGGGAAACAGGAATATAATATGTAGGAATGGACAGTGGTCAGAACCACCACGATGCTTAGGTAAGTATATTAATATTCTCACGGATCCTGGGAAAATCAGTGTAATGAGTATGATGTTTGCTGTTTATAATGGAGTTTTCATGGATTAACAACCAACCATTCTGTTGAATGCTTGCTATGAAACATTAGTATGTGATGAAGTCAAGTTTGAAAAATTCTTGTTGAAGCACAAACAGCAACAAAAGATTCTTTAATGAAAGCTCTTCAGGGGATAATTGACATTATGGATCTTTGATTATAACATTTAATTATCATAGATTAAACATAGCACCTCATTTTCACATCATTAGTTATTTAAAATGGTTTAAATTTACATGCTGGATTTTCAGTGAGTTCCTTTAGCAAAGGGTTTAAGAATGAAGTTCTGGACCAGTGTAGAAGATTCTACTCGAGTCTGATATTTTGTGGAAAATATTTGTGTACTCCTTAATGTTTTATTTTCATTTTTTTGCCTTCAGATGCATGTGTTATATCAGAAGAAATGATGGAAAAACATAAGATAGAACTGCGATGGTCGTATGACAAAAAATTGTATTCTGAAACAGGGGACACTGTTGAATTTACATGTAAACATGGATATCGTAAAAAGACACCGCCTGAAACATTTCGAACAACCTGTCGGGAAGGGAAAATGGCGTATCCCACCTGTGGATAGAACAATAGTTAAAATCGATTCGTAAAATTCACATAGGTAAATTCACTCTGAATTTTTCATTATTAATCCAATTCCTCTCAGTTTATTTCTTCAAGTATTGTTTAACTCATTTTTCTCATAAATCAGAATTTGTATAAACTATTACATGGATGATGTGATTATAATCTGAGAGATCAATGAATGACTTCTAAAATGACCTTATTAAAACTTGGCAAACCAAAGTGCTGTGTGTCCTGTCCATCAAATATCTGTGGCTAGAAACTAGATGCAATCACTTCGGTGTCTGCTTCCAACCATCCATCTTCCAACTTTCTCAAAGCTTTCTTCATAGCTTCTGAGGCTTCCTGAGACTCTCTATTTCAGAGGAAATGGGAAAAAAAAAGGCTTGTCTCCATCTTCAAAATAACATCACTTCGCAAACACATAAAAAGCAAACTATGTCATATCAAAGTTAGTAATAAGATGTCAGTAGTATTTACTTACTTTTGCTTACTTCACAATAGATAAAGAAACCAAAAAGTGATGAAATGCATGATTTTCTACAAGACGTCTATCTAGCACACATCACAATTCAAACTGATCATAAAGAGGAATTAGAATCTAAATGGGTGCATTGCTAGCATAACCTTGACATGAAACGTGATAAGCTCTCCAATATCAGGTATAAACATGCACACACACTGGCTTTGAGCACTGAGAAACGTTTATAGAACAAGGATTGGCAGGAAGTACAATAAAATATTTACCATAACTAGACTTAAATTCAGAGGTAATTGGGGTAAGAGTTGGTGTTTAACTCTTCATACTTAGCTGTATTTTCCAATTTTTCTATCATTAATATATATCACTTTTGAACCCCAGGAATATGTTGTTTTGAAACACAGATACATGAAAAGTAAGACAATACATGTGGGGAACTATAAAGACCTCTTTGGTAATGATCTTCAGATCTAATAGCTTTTTCATGATTTTGCTGGTATAGAAGGTTTTGGAGACATTCAACCACAAGCGTCTGAAATATGATTTTTATGTTCCCACATTTCAAAACAGCATAATTAGTTAAAATCTGCTGACTATAAACATTTTTAATTTCTACAAAATATGAAAACTTTAAGATGAAAGTAAAGATATACATAATTAAGGTAAAAATATTTTAATGTGATACCTTGTTACTTTGTAATGCATCAAATCAAGTGGCAATATTAGAATGAAAGACCTGACTGTCACCAATGGAGCCGACTTATATAAATCTGAATTACTGGTGACAGCCATTTTTCTCATATTAAAGGAACATTGTTACAATTGGCAGGTAATTTTTGCTGTTAATGTTACCATTTGTGTACATACTGTATTTCCAAAATCTTTCACTTAATGGTTATGGAATCTATTTATGACACTTGCCTATAATCAATTATTTCATTGTTGGCTGCAAGATAGTTATTTTTAAGACCAGTTCTATCACCTTTCTGCATTTATCAGTCGTCATTCTCTTGTAAAGGTGAATTTTAACTTACCAACTCTGTTTAAATTAAACTTTCACATAAAAGATTTGGTAAATCTCTATTTTGGCCATTTAATTTCCAATTTTTGGAGTAAGGGCTTGATGTAATAGTGACCTTCCATGATGACTTTAGAGATGTTTTCCTTTCCTTTTTAAAAATGTTGTGCGTATCAGCATGGATTCACATATTTTTATTTATTCAATTTGTCACAATCAATTATAGTCATTATTCTATTTAAAGCTCACATTATCTCAAATTTGGCAAGTAGATATCTCTTGAAACTGGCTCCTGATTGGTTTTGTTGTGTCCCATTAGTCTTTGAGCATTTCTCTTCTTTTAGCACATGATGCTCCAGGGTCACTATGTACTTTCCCTGCCAACACCCATAATCATGCATCTTTCTAAAGAATATCTGATTTTTTTATTGGGCATTATGTTTAGAAGTCAAGAATTGTGCTATTGGTGCCAGATGGGAGTGTTCAATGGTGTTGAAATGTCTTTATTCCCAAGCTCTTTTGGTTGTCAGACCTTTGACATACAAATGAAATCTAAAATTCATTAGCTTTTTGAAGACTCAGTTCTAATGCTGGCTGCGTGGCAATATCTTGCAGGGCTGTGGCAAGGTTCTTCAGCAGGCTACAGATGCTCTAAATAAGTGTTCAATATATAGTACCGTCTATCTCTTTGCTGTGATTCACAGGTCCAGTAATCAAAGTGTGGAGATGGGAATGCCACCACTTATATTACCCCTAATGAGCCACAAGCTGAATTTTTGCTTCCTGAACCTGTGAACTTATACTCTGCTTGTCTGTAGGTCTTAGTTACAAAGGGAGGAATACTTCCATCAGAAGACACAACAATGATTCCATTTAACGAATGTTGAGTCTGTCACCTGGGAAAATGTAGAATTTTCATTTAAAGATGTATTTAGTTCTTTGAGCATGTTTATGGCAACTGGTATAGATTTTATTTTTTATTAGTCCAATACCTGGGCCCTCTTAGTGACTCTTTCTATTGATTTTTGTTTTGTTTTGTTCTATAGGTCACACTTTTCTGTTTCCTTGCATGTCTCAATGATTTTTGGAAAACTTGACATTTCTTAGAATATGACTTGTAACCACATGGATTCTGATCCCATCACTATTTGTTGCTGCAGTTGTCTGTATCCTTGTTCAGTGACTCTGTTGCTTTGCCTGCACTAAATCTGTAGCATTTCTTTCCCCAATAGATGAAGCCACGGGTGTCTCTCAATTTTCTTTTCAATTTTTGTGAAGCCTCACTTTCAACAGTTTTCCAGTAAGTCAGCAGAGCTAGAGGTCACAGGTTGTATCAACCAAGGGGGCAGTGGGATGCCAAGTGAGCAGCACTCACTGGAAACCTCTGGGGAATAATGAGAAGCCATTCACAGAAAGGTGACCTCCCAGTGGCACTCCCCTGCAAAGCCACCCGAGGGAGTGCCATAGAAAGCTGCCCATGGAAGGATGGTACATCCTGCTGGCCTTCAATCACTGCAGAAGAACATCTCATTGCAGAAGCCTGAAGAGAGAAGGACACATGAAGAGGAATTCTTTTCTCCTTCAGGAATCCTCCTCCAGACAAGGCTTAACATTATACCCGTCATCAAAGATAGAACACTCAGAGTCCAGCTGTATTATCCAGTGTAAGGAAGCAAGGAAAGAAGGGTAGATTTGGAGCTGAGGCGCCCACACTCTTTTCTCTTTCAGAAACAATGGCTTTCTAAGACTGCCCCCTCTTCTCCTGCACACTTTTGAAGATCTTTCCCTGTAGTGGGTCCTCCAGTCTATCCACTTCTATTTTCAGAAATTTTGCACTTTCCTAAAATGCTGTCTTACCCAGGTGATTTTGTTTGTATTCTCTCAAGGTTAGGCCCTCTGTTCCTTTCTTCTCTCTCCCACACAGTCTCGTTAGACTCTCCCTTCTGCAATCAGGCTGGTGCCTTGATCATCCAGAATTAGTTCTGCTTGAATTTGTGGTGATTCCCCTTCTTATAGTTAGTTTGAAGTTTTAAGAATCTCGGGCAATTAGTCATGCTAAAGACAGGAAATATTTGCTCTCTTTGTTGATCTATGTGTTTTTCATTTTTGTATTTTTATTTTTATTTTTTTGTGAGGAAGATCAGCCCTGAACTAACATCCATGCTAATCCTCTCCTTTTTTTTCTGAGGAAGACCAGCTCTGAGCTAACATCTATTGCCAATCCTCCTCCTTTTTTTTCCCCAAAGCCCCAGTAGACAGTTGTATGTCATAGTTGCACATCCTTCTAGTTGCTATATGTTGGACACAGCCTCAGCATGGCTGGAGAAGCGGTGCGTCAGTGCGCGCCCTGGATCCGAACCCAGGCTGCCAGCACCAGAGCGCGCGCACTTAACTGCTAAGCTGCGGGGCTGGCCCCCATTTTTGTATTTTTAAAGATTTGTAGAGAGATTTGGATCAACGCATTCTTATCCCAGGGCAAGCAGGATGTGTCTATACTTTGTGTTTATTACAAAAGAGATTTCTTTTCGTCTTAAGAAATATTTAAACATAGGTAAAGCCCATTATCTGGTCACTTAGAACATGTGCTAATGGTTTCACCTCAGCGTTTCCTGTGTCTCCACTATTTCTGTCGTATCTGATGCTCTGTCTAGTCCTGCATCGCTTCTGTTATTTATTTCCGACCTGCTTCATTACCAACGGCTGTAGCTGAACGACTTCCCGGACATGATTTTCAATGAAAAGTGCAGGTACAAATGCTTTCAAAGGTAATTCAGCTTCTCTCAGAAACAGAGGTTATGAGTCCTACACGAATTGAACAATTTAACTATATTAATTAAATTTTTATATAATCTTTTGACTCAACCCATCCTGCAACAATTGACAAATATGATCCCCCTTTATTTCAAATGTATGTTATTCAATGTAATGTTGTAAGTTTAAGTGAATCATTGTGTAATCATGATCTATTTTAAAAACCTATGTAGGGGCCGGCCCGTGGCGCAAGCGGTTAAGTGCGTGCGCTCTGCTGCAGCGGCCCGGGGTTCGCCGGTTCGGATCCTGGGTGCCCACCAACGCATCGCTTGTCTGGCCGTGTTGTGGCGATGTCCCATATAAAGTGGAGGCAGATAAGCAAGGATGTTAGCCCAGGGCCAATCTTCCTCAGCAAAAAAGGAGGAGGATTGGCAGATGTTAGCACAGGGCTGATTTCCTCACCAAGAAAAAAAAAGAAAAAACCTATGTAAATGACAGCCATTTATTTCCTACTTGATATATTTAAGCCTCACTTGACTACTACAGAGAGAGAAACTAAAAATTGGTTGTAAGCATGCTTACTTTACAAAAAATTGTAAGTTTATTTGATGTCTATGTAATAAATCTAATCATATTTGCTTCATCTACTTTCAAATTAACAAAGACTTCATCTGAATGATCTTTGCAGTTTTTCTTTTAATCTAAAATTATGTCATAATAAAAGCTTTATGTAAAAACACAGTAAAATATT